TGAGGTGATCATTTTTTCAAAGCCTCCTTGATGGTGGTGGAATAACTCGAACCATGATTTATTCTCAATTTTTGACTCACCCTGTGTGTTAATTGAGTAATGGCATTGAAAGTGCTTACACCCTATACGAAAGAGGCTTCTTTTGCGAGCATTTTGTTTTTTTATTCATTGATTTATCTCTAGAATTTTCCGAATTACAGCTTTTTTTGCTGAATCCTTGCAGATTACCAACTTTCTGAATTTATCGAGAAACAATTTTCTAATGAAATAAACTGATACCAATAATTTTAAAAAACATTTTCATCAAACACAAAATTATAAGTTGGGATACCGTGTATATTGCCTCCTCTAGCAACTCTAAGAACTTCTAATCTACGAGGCATACTGGAAATTAAGTTGCTTTTTGTTTCCATTGGTATACGATCCCATTCTTCCACTAATGTATCTGCCATTTCTGCGAGACTTTCCGGAGACCTCTCGCGAGAATGTACCCTTCTCCCTAATTCATCCCACAAATGTTCTATAGGATTCATATCGGGGCTTCTCGCAGGCCATTGTAATGTAATACCAGTAGCTTCTAAGAAGTTTCGCACTATTGCTGCGGTGTGTGGTCGGGCATTATCCTGCATCGATATAAAATTATTGCCCACTAACTCTGCATAAGGTAAGACATACTGTTCTAAAATGTCAATGTAAATTTGGGCATTCATCGACTGCGTCACCGGAAAAACATGAAGGGGTGTCTTTCCATTCATTGAAATCCCTCCCCACACCATAACGGACCCACCATTAAAACTTTCGCATTCTGTTATTGAATTTTGATAAAACCGTTCACCAGTTCTTCTCCACACTCTTTTTCTTCCATCTACCATATGTTAAGGAGAAACCTTGACTCATCCGTAAACAAGACATTCGACCATTCAGGAATGTTCCACTGTCCATAATTTTCAACAAAATTTCTTCTAGCAGCACGATGTTCGGGCAATAATTTGGGACCTTTTGCAGGTTTCCTAGCTTTTAAATTAACTTCTTTTGGACGTCTACATATATATATACCGTCTGCTTACTGCGACATCACGAATTTGGCGAAGATCTTGCTGAACATTTACCGCAGTATTTGATCGATTCCGTAAAATCCGCAATCTCAAGAAGCGATCATCTCTTGGAGAAGTTTTTCGAGGGCGACAAGAACCGACCCTCCGAGCGGTGCTTCCTGTTTGTTTGTACTTGCGGATTGCTCTACGAGCAGTTGCTTCATGAACTCTCACTGCACGAGCGGCGTAACGTTTACCACGCCTAATCGTTTACTATAACGCAACTAATCTTGCTACTTGTTCAGGAGTTATTTGAGGCATTTCATGTAATCTTAGTCAATATAAAACAAGACACCTAATTAATGACACAACGACAAATGGTCAAATATAGAGGTATACAACAAATTTGCGATGTCAACGGTATTTGTTTTTTTAAAGACAATGTGATCCTACCAGAGTACAACCCAATCAATTTTGAGTACTCTGATCCTTCGATAAATTTGATTTGTGAATAGAATACCATTGTTTGTTAAGAATCTGGAAGTAGGTATGAGTATGTCTGTTACAGGGTCTGTATCTTACATACCTAACATAAATATTTTAATTACATTAGATGGTCGGCAGAATAGCAGCATATGATTACCTACCTATATACGTATGCACGTGGCGGACATTCTTTGCTCGAGGCACTCCAACTGACTTTGGACATACTGTACTTGGACTACCTAACATTCAAAGCAAATTTCGACCCGCTCTTTTAACAAACGAGATCCTCACGCAATTAAAACGATATCCATAATTAACGGAGACTTGGAGAAGTTACAGAGCAAGACCCAATTTCACAGAGCATTCGACTTCGAGATCATGCATGCTTCGATGCGCGCCAATAGGCCGCAGTTCCCGCCTACTGGGCTAATGCTGCGCACGCCTGTTGGCTCAAACCAGCCATTTTATGGTGGCGAGGCGGGATTTTCGAGCGAGGGACATCAATTTCGTGAAGGAGGCATGAAGTTCCGCGAGTTCCACTCAAATGGTCACCGAGATTTGTCACAGCTGCGGCTAATCGACCTACTCGGATTTTTTTCTGATCTGTGTGAACGGTCCCGTGAGTTTGACGGCTAGTTTGGCGGGTAATAAGCGTAGCTGGTTTGTTGATTATGCTGTGCCTGTAAAACAAAATTGAGACTGATTATGGGTATTTATTTTTGATAAAACTGTTTGTGGATCTTGTTTTAGTGAAGTTGAGTTTTGGTGCCATTTATCATTTATGATGGAAACTGGTGAGTACCTACCTATATATATATAATAATATATACCTACCCTACTCATTATAGGTACTTACTTTGGTCATAGACTATATACAGGGCGCAACCGCAGTTTAGGGATAGGTATGTAATACATAATATATTCCCTGAACTGTGGCGCAACCTATAGCCTACCGCTGAATTCTGCCGGCTAACGACTACCGGTGCATTGTAGATCTAAATGAAAATCTAGTAGGCGACCTAGTGCGAGGAGGTATAATATTATAGCTCTTGCCTACTAACTACCTAACTAGGTTGTCATCTAGAACGACAATGACCGGTGCCTTTGAAATTGTCATCCAATTTCCTGTAAACCTCAACCGTTTGGCGGTGCAATGATTCATGATAGGAAAGCAAAAAACGCAATGTTGGGCAACTATCTGCTAGAATTCAGTATATAATCTTTGCTTATATGGTATATATCATCGAACATTATAACTACCCCAAAGCGAGGGGTAAATCACGGCGAAAAAAATTGTACACCAAACTTCCCATGGGTCAAAACTTCCCAAACTTCCTCGAACTTCCCCAAACTTCCTCGAACTTCCTCAAACTTCCTCGAACTTCCTCAAACTTCCCCGAACTTCCTCAAACTTCCCCGAACTTCCTCAAACTTCCCAAACTCCCTCGAACTTCCCAAACTTCCTCGAACTTCCTCAAACTTCCTCGAACTTCCCAAACTTCCTCGAACTTCCCAAACTACCTCGAACTTCCTAAACTTCCCGAAACGTTTCAAACGTCACAAACCAAGTACTTATAAGCAATTTAGTATTGATAGATTCAAAATTTGTTCCTTTTCTTATGGTAGGTAGATATATATAGGGTGGTCCGGTTTGTTATACAAAAAATTCAACAGTGTGGTGTTCTCGTTGAAATAATGAAATACTTTTATTACATTCATTATACATAATCTTCATTTCATCTCATAGAGCGTGAAAAGTTTAGTATCTTGGGTAACTTTGTGGATTTATCTCAAACCGTTTCGCCGTTTCGAACTTTTCATCAAAAAACAATATTCAGACTCGTATTTCAAACACCCTATATCTCGAAAACGAAGCGTTTGAAAGTATATGTTTATATGATTTTTCGAATAATTTCAACCGAGTACAACACACTGTTGAATAGGTACCTACTTATATGTATTGGTGGGTACATAAACTTGAAAGTACTTTACTGGAAGGAATTTGAAACTGAATGTCATGAGTATTAATCTACCGACAGAAATCAACTATCAAACTAATTATTACATTATGCAATGCAGGTTTTCTGTACCACGAATTTTTAGGTATGTATAGGTACTATTGACTTATCCGAGGACAGCATCTGTTGAAAGTTCTGAAATAATAATGAACTCTTTGAAATTATGTTTAATATTATTTCTATATAGGGTGTTTCAGAGTTGTGTCGACAAAAGCCTTGACAAAAGCCTCAAGCAATAACGAAAAACCCATAATTCTTTTAACTTGGAAACCCTACCCTGTATCTCGGAAACGAAGCATTTTCGGAACCATTTTCATATGAACTTGATTTCATAATTTGTTGAGAGGAATCTCCTCTAGGCTTTTTTCACGACAGCTCTATATATCCTGAGATAATAAGTTTCTTGCATTATCTAGCCAAAGATTTTTCCCGACCGTCTCCGCCCAAACGTTCACAGACATCCTACAGCTTGCTTGGTCTTTCGGAAACTTCCCAAACATCCTTGAACCTCCAAAACTACCTGAACATCAAGAAATGTTTCAGACTCCGCCGAACTTCCCAAATCACCCAAACTTCCTCGAACTTCCCAAAACTTCCTCTAACTTCCCAAAACTTCCTCGAACTTCCCAAACTTTCTCGAACTTCCTTAAACTTCCTCGAACTTCCCCAAACTTCCTCGAACTTCCCCAAACTTCCTCGAACTTCCCCAAACTTCCTCGAACTTCCCAAAACTTCCTCGAACTTCCCAAATTTCCTCGAACTTACCCAAACTTCCTCGAACTTCCCCAAACTTCCTTGAACTTCCTCGAACTCCCCAAACTTCCTCGAACTTCCCAAACTTCCTCGAACTTCCCAAACTTCCTCGAACTTCCTAAACTTGTCGAAACTATTCAAACTTCACGAACCAGGTAAGCAAATTAGTATTGATTGATTCAACTTTTTTCCTTTCCCTATGGTAGGTAGGTATAGGTAGGTTCAGTTAGATGCAAAGAAAATATCGCGGTTGGATGGTGTTAGCGCTCTTATTGCAGAAGTGACTAGATAGGTGCCATCACCGCCCTAGTGCGACATGTTCATTGCATCTGACTGTACGTATATGTATAGGCAGGTATAGGTGAGTATACCTCAACTCAAAAGTACTTTACTGGAAGGGATTTGAAACTGAATGTCATGAATATCTGCATTGTAATTCAATACAAAATGAAATTAGACTTATAACTTTGAATAATCCACCAACAGAAATCAACCATCTAACTAATTACCGATCTAATTACCTATGCAATGCAATTTTTCAGTACCACGAATTTTCAGGTAGGTAGGTATTATTGAGTTATCTAACAGCATCTCTATTATTTGCTGAAATGAAAAAATCGAGAAATGAATATCCGACTAATAATTGCTTTCTGTTCTCAAAACTACCTAAACACCACGAAATGTTTCAAACTCTACCGAACTTCCCAAACTACCTCGAATATTCCTCGGAATATTCCAAACTTCCTCGAAATTCCCCAAACTTCTCCGAACTTCCCAAACCTCCTCGAACTTCCCCGAACTTCCTCGAACTTCCCAGACTTCCTCGAACTTCCCCAAACTTCCTCGAACTTCCCAAACTTCCTCGAACTTCCCCAAACTTCCTCGAACTTCCCCAAACTTCCTCGGACTTCCTCAAACTTCCTCGAACTTCCCCAAACTTCCTCGAACTTCCCAAAACTTCCTCGAACTTCCCAAACTTCCTCGAACTTCCCCAAACTTCCTCGAACTTCCCCAAACTTCCTTGAACTTCCTCGAACTTCCCAAACTTCCTCGAACTTCCCAAACTTCCTCGAACTTCCTAAACTTGTCGAAACTATTCAAACTTCACGAACCAGGTAAGCAAATTAGTATTGATTGATTCAACTTTTTTCCTTTCCCTATGGTAGGTAGGTATAGGTAGGTTCAGTTAGATGCAAAGAAAATATCGCGGTTGGATGGTGTTAGCGCTCTTATTGCAGAAGTGACTAGATAGGTGCCATCACCGCCCTAGTGCGACATGTTCATTGCATCTGACTGTACGTATATGTATAGGCAGGTATAGGTGAGTATACCTCAACTCAGAAGTACTTTACTGGAAGGGATTTGAAACTGAATGTCATGAATATCTGCATTGTAATTCAATACAAAATGAAATTGGACTTATAACTTTGAATAATCCACCAACAGAAATCAACCATCTAACTAATTACCGATCTTATTACCTATGCAATGCTATTTTTCAGTACCACGAATTTTCAGGTAGGTAGGTATTATTGAGTTATCTAACAGCATCTCTATTATTTGCTGAAATGAAAAAATCGAGAAATGAATATCCGACTAATAATTGCTTTCTGTTCTCAAAACTACCTAAACACCACGAAATGTTTCAAACTCTACCGAACTTCCCAAACTACCTCGAATATTCCTCGGAATATTCCAAACTTCCTCGAAATTCCCCAAACTTCTCCGAACTTCCCAAACCTCCTCGAACTTCCCCGAACTTCCTCGAACTTCCCAGACTTCCTCGAACTTCCCCAAACTTCCTCGAACTTCCCAAACTTCCTCGAACTTCCCCAAACTTCCTCGAACTTCCCCAAACTTCCTCGAACTTCCTCAAACTTCCTCGAACTTCCCCAAACTTCTCGCCCCAAAGGATACGCTCACTAAGATATCCTATCCTATATATTATTTACCTATAGGTAAAGGATTCATATCAGACTGATTTTTACATTTTACATTTTTAATGGTACTAAGATCGTTGATGTCTGTTCTTTTGTTCATCGTTTTATCATTTTCATTAATATGTACCATTTCAAGAAAGAGGCGTTTGTTGAGATTTTTTTCATAATCCAGAATTTTGGCATTATCATAATTCATTATATGATCTTCATCTATAACATGTTCAGCAAGGCTACATGATTTTAAATTTCTTCTACAATCACTTTTATGTGAAGTGATTCTGTCTTTTAACATTCTACAAGTTTGACCAATATAAACTAGATTACAATTATTGCAGGGAATTTCATAAATAATATTCGATCTATTTTTGACTGGTACAGCATTTTTCAATTTCGTATGAAGATAAAATATTGTTTTCAAATTTGTTTTAGCGAATTTAATATTTGTTTCATTTTTGAAGAGACTGATTAATTTGGGAGTTAGATCAATTATGTGTGGTAAAGATTTGAATATTGAAATTTGATTATTTCTTGGTAGGGGAACGTCAACATTAAATGAACTGAAAATAATTTTATTAACTAATGATTTTGGATACGAATTTTGGATAAGGATGTTTCTTAATTCTACTAACAATCATTTCTCAAAGTTACATGAGTGACTTTTTCTCCTCTATTTTTGAGGTTACGTATCAAGTTAATTTTCATTTTCATTGGATGATGTGAATGGTAATTAATAAAACGATTACTATTGATTGGTTTCCTGTACCATCTAGTTATAATTATATTATTGTTCGTTCTAATCAATTTCATATTATTTATGAAATTCCCTGCAATAATTGTAATCTTGTTTATATTGGTCAAACTTGTAGAATGTTTAAAGACAGAATCACTTCACATAAAAGTGATTGTAGAAGAAATTTAAAATCATGTAGCCTTGCTGAACATGTTATAGATGAAGATTATATAATGAATTATGATAATGCCAAAATTCTGGATTTTGAAAAAAAATCTCAACAAACGCTTCTTTCTTGAAATGGTACATATTAATGAAAATGATAAAACGATGAACAAAAGAACAGACATCAACGATCTTAGTACCATTTATACATTCCTTCTAAAGAAACAAAAAGATAATAAATCAACTCGTCCTCCTTGAATGATTCATGTTTTTTATATATAATCTACAAACATTTTTTGTATATCAGTATTTTTATATATATCAGTATTCATCTCACTCTGTATTCAACATCTTCAAATGAGTCAACCATCATCTATGACATTTTTTTGTCGAATCATTTCATTTTATTTATACACCTATTTTTCCTTTTTGTGCTAATTTTATATAGAATTTCATGTTTGTAAGTATACCAATTTCAATTGATGTACATTTATATTTTAATATTATTGTTCCATTCGATGTTTTCAGTTAGTCTTGATAAAGAAAATAAAAATTTTCGAAAGCTCGACAAATAACGAAGAAATCTAATTAATTCATTGGTCCAGACTGCATCCCACTAATATTTCCAAGAATATATATAGAAATACATTGAGAATTCGCATTCTCCATGTGATGAAAATATTAATTCTTTCTCGGTTTATTCAACAGAAAACAACTACTTTCCTGGATGTATGCCACGGCGAACATTGAATTACATCTATTGAACACACGATAAGAATTTGATGACAAAATCTTCTGAAGTAGAGAATTTGCATCCTCCTTCATATGAACATAATATCATTCTGAATATTCAACAGAAAACAACTACTTTCCTGGCTATTTGCCACGTCAAACATTGAATTATATCTGTTGAATATCCAAAAAGAGAGCATGCAAAATCAAAATCCTCTGAAATTGAGAATTGAAATTATCTCTCAAATCGAATAGAATAATATGATGTATTATGCTATAAAAATATAACTTACCAATATGTTCAGTATGAAAACTAAAATATATAAAAGGATTATACTTGTATGGACTCTGATCTTGATGAGTTCCAAAAAAATCATTCATATCAGTGATATGGGAATTATATCTCTCACAAAGAGGTTATATGACTTCACTCGAAACAAACTCATTTCGGATATCAGATCCTCATCAGTAACCTGAAGTCCAGTTATTCTTTCAGCCATTCTTCATGATATACACAATTTTCATCTCCCTATAATATAACTAATGGTCAAAAATAGCCAATAACGATGTTCACATCAGCGATCGACTATCTTAGGTCTTCTTCATTGATGATGGGCGAAAAAAAATCTCTTTTCCATACTTGTTACGTAAATTATCACTATTTCGTTCATTCTAATATCCTGTCGAAAGTGCTAGACTATGGAGAAGGAGAAGTGCTCTTTCGCCAAATGTACTCATGCAGTTTTTGAGCATTGTCGAAAATATTGAAAACTTTGTTGCAATTATGCATCAACTCCCGGAAACTTTCCGCTTAGCTTGACTTGAAATCCAAGGAACGTCATCAATTTATGATCGAATGGTCAATAACGATGTTCACATCAGCGATCTTCTTCATTGATGATGGGCGAAAAAAAATCTCTTTTTTATCACTATTTCGTTCATTTTAATATCTTGGCGAAAGTGCTAGACTATGGTGAAGGAAAAGTGCTCTTTCGCCAAATGTACTCATGCATAGTTTTTGAGCATTGTCGAAAATATCGAAGATGTACTTATGCATCAACTCCCGGAAAATATCCGCTTAACTTGACTTGAAATCCAATGAACGTCACCAATAATTATTGATTGATCGAATAATCAAAGAAGCCATCAATAACAAAGTTTGTATTAGCGAAATTATTTCGATTACCTATCTATATTCTCGGTAGTCAAGGTCATCGCCTGGCGTTGCGATGACATGAAAATTACGGGAAAACAGCTCTAACTTTCAATATAAGCCAGGAGTTAGGAATGTTTTCCAGTAGTTCTCATGTCATCAGTTTCACTCGGTTTTAGTTGTATTATAGAGAGATGAAAATTGTGTATATCATGAAGAATGGCTGTAAGAATAAGTGGACATCATGGTTACTGATGAGGATTTAGAAATCCGAAATGGTTTCATCGCAATAAAGTCATATAACCTGTGTGTGAGAGATAATATTTCCCATATAACTGATATGAATGATTATTTTTGGAAGTTTTCAAGCTCATCAAGATCAGAGTTTATGCCAGTATACTTCTCCTATACATTCCAATTTTCATTTCAATGCTGAATATATTGGTAAGTTATATTTCTATATCATTATACATCATATTATTCATCCGATTTGAAGAAGAATATCAATTCTCAATTTCGGAGGATTTTATTTTTTATTTTTCATGTTCTCCTTTTGAATGTTCATCAGATATAATTCAATGTTCGACGTGGCAAATAGCCAGGAAAGTAGTTGTTTTCTGATGAATATTCAGAATGATGTGTGCATATACATATTTTCGTCTGAAGGAGAATGCAAATTCTCAATTTCAGAAGATTTTATATTTTATTTTCAAACCCTTATCGTGTGTGTTCAATAGATATAATTCAATGTTCGTCGTGGCATATAGCCAGGAAAGTAGTTGTTTTCTATTGAATAACCTGAAGAAGAGTAGATATTCTCATCACATAGAGAATGCGAATTCTAAATGTATTGCTTTATATAAATATATATCCATTTTTGTATGTTCATAATTTATCTGAGAATATTCCTTTTCAACACTTAGTAGCATCATATTTTGATGTTGAAAGAAATCATAAAATCTTCAGAAAGTGGCACTGTTGAAGTCGACATATTTCATAACAGAATATTTAATTATCAATTCGATCTTGAGGTTTATTGTATTTGCTTTATCAGTATACCCACATTTAACATTATTCATTCGCAACTGGAATACAAGTTCTTCTCCTTTATATCGAAATCTCACTTCGTGAGTTGAACTGACTGAACTAATCTTGCAACTTGACAAACCTAACCTATCACATGTTCATTTCCATCACATCAGATGTCAATAAACTAACTTAAAATTCCGTTCGAATATACTACATGAAATAGTTAGTAACTCAGAGTGAAACTGATAAAACCTTCATTTCACTTCACTCTGAGAGTCAATATTCGAACACACCCCAGTGACAATAGATAAAAGTGAATCAATGGAGAACATAAAATTATCCATTACTTTATCAGTTATACAATGTACCTTTATTTACAACCATATATGTGATGTTGTCATGGCAGAATGTTTAACACGAGATGATAAATCACAAAACTCCCAAAAGTCTTAAGAATCTAGAAAGAACTAACGAACTATATCTCCTATCTATAAGAATCCGACGGCAACTCCTTAACCAATATTCAAGATCGATTAATTAAAATAATCTGTAACTCATTTGTATACTAACATCTTCCCTCATCCATATGCAAACATCAGTGTGACACTGAGACGTGTCAAACTAGAACAGAATTTTCGAAGAAAAATATTTTGCATTTTTATGTTGAGAATAACGGGAGCAGAATTGATCCCGAAACGTCCAAATTTTTCCAAAACATCTATATCTCTTCTCTTTGAACTTTTTCCCAAACAAAGTGTGATTGAAAAGCTATCGGATTTTTCTTTCAGGCTTCCTGGTAGAAACATTTTTCAATCGCAGTGACATTTTGGGGCAAATCATGAATGTAACACCTCCTCGATTAACCTACAGACAGTATTTAACCAAATCAGTTCCAGTTATCAACAAATTGAGTTATTTCCCTAACATTCGCACTCGAATCACTCAGGAATCCAAATTCACCGCAATTTGAGTATATCGCTCATTCACAGTGCTTTCGCTCATTCACAGTGCCTCGCGTCACGAGTATTCAAACATATTGTAGCGCTATTCGAGCATGTCGCTCAATGTCAGTGCTCACCTTCGCGACACGGACAGTCACATTCACTGCTGTTCGACAGCGTCGCTCAATCTCATTGCTCACGGTATATATTTCTGAGTTGATTTCAACTCCATGTCCACACAATAACTTTGTGTCAATCCAGGTCCACACCGGACTGAGTAATCATTTTATAGCTACCCTTTGAATTATATTGACACAAATTGTTTCAGGAGTATGGGAAAAATCACTTACACAATTTTTACTGAAATTCAACAAGATTTTAGTTCTTGATAAAACTAATTGGGCATTTCTATTTTAACGAAAAGCTTCACCCAATGGGATTTTTTACCGTGTATAAATGTCTTTGTCTGCTCATACACTTATCAATCTTCATTCATTATTATCTAAATGTTCATCCCCCCTCCCTATATAGGTAGGACAGGGCCAGGGCTATAGAAACCGAAAAAAGAATAATAATAATTGTGGATGTAACTTTGGTTTTTTTTTTGACTACATTTATGACTATGATTTTTTGTCGCGTCCTATAAGTAGTATGAAACGAATCATAACTACATTGAATAAAAATACCTTCATATATTTTTATCAATGTTATTGATAATATAAGTGGCTTCAACGGTAACTGAAAATAAATTTGTAGGAACTTATTAGAGGAGAAACTCGATTCCTCGCTATTATTTGTTCAGGCTACCGGTATATACCTATACAGACAACCTTTTAAGCAGCTTTTTCAATGATGTTGTTCAAACACTTCCGAGACCATACAAACAGTCGAATTAATGTATTTGATTTTCTACTCCAAATGCTCGTGACAATTTGTTGTACCCTCAGACATTATCTGCCATTTTGAAATTAATGGGCTCTGATGAGAACAAAACAGTCGATACGAAAATAAATATAACTAATTGAAATAATAATATTTGTAATGATCTGATGTTTTCTGATGTCTACCAGACCGAGGGATTACAACCAGTAGATGCACTTCCAGAGGAAAGACTTTGACCTGGTTGGTGTTGCCACACGCACTAATTTCTTGACATGGACAATTCTACGGAAACTGTTCTTCAGAAATTTCGTACATCATCCCATCACTGGCAATACCAGTCACTCCAGTCAGACAAAATCGACAAGCCCAGTCAACACATCCTTCCGTCGTCAACCTCGAGATATGTCGAACAACTCTCTACCAGAACTCGTTTGTCTATAACCTCTAGAAGTTAAAAAATAACCTTTCTAGGTATGTGTGATATTCTTCGAAAATACTAGGGATTCCCTCTCGTACGCTCCAAAAGATGAAAAAATATGTTTTTTTTGTGATCTGAGCAGGGCATTCGACTGTGTTAACCACGAAAAACTATCGACAAATCTTGAGATGCATTTATATGGTCTGAGAGGCGCAGCTTTATCTTGGATATTGTCACGAATAGGGTGAAGAAATTTTCCTCATCAAATATAATATTTTGCCTTCAACATGTTTATTGTTCATTGAACATGTTTAATGTTCATTGAATTTTTTTGTTAAAAAATGTTTCCACAATTTGAATGAATTCTTTTCGAATACCATCAGTATAGTTGAAATTTGTTTTATTGACTTGTTTATTGAAATCGTTACTATTCTTTTTTAAATTATTCAATTCAACATCACTGTTAAATCTCAGTGGGTATCTAAATGTAGATATTCTGCTCTTCTTCTTCTTCTTCTTCTTCTTCTTCTTCTTCTTCTTCTTCTTCTTCTTCTATAAACTTTTGTACATATTATTCAATGATGATGACTTTACCAATACAATATATAATTGTCTTATGGTATGATGATGATACAAATTGATGATAGTCGTTTTGCACTTGAAGGAAGGATCTTGTATAAATCGAATGAACTAATTTCCGGTGGTCCGATCGATAAATCTTCATTGTCAATTCATATAATAAAATATGTTATTTATTTGTTTTTAGCATGATTCGGTACGCTCCACATCTTTCTCACTGAACCAAAGTCGAAAGGTTATCGTTTGGTGTCAGCGATAAAGCCTTTATCGCTTATATTTTTCAAGGCTCACTTAATTCCTAATGATCTGTAGCACATTATAACTTCTCAAGCATTCATATACAATAATATTGGAAATTATATCTATGTTACCTACCTACTAAATGGCAAACCTCCCTATTGCACACCAATATTACGTCGTATAATTTAGCAAATGATGATGATGAATGGGGGGCCAGGTAGCCGTGCGGACAGTATATGTATATTCGAATCCGCATAAGCTTGCCGGTCGTGGGTTCGATTCCCATCGACTGCAGAAAATTTTCTGATGGCCCAAGAAAGTGTTTGGGATCACACGTAAAGAGGTAAGGCCCCCGTCATTCCTTGCTCGCACAAGACTCTCGAAGACTTCTGAGGGTTGCTCGTAAGGGGGCAACCGAATGACGGATAGAACCATTTTAGAACAATTAGAATGAACTGAATGTTCGAATTGATTGAATTCCTCATGCGCTAGCTTATCACACCTTTCATAATGATATGAGCTATTTGAATTTTAGGAAACAGCGAGGGAAATACAATTTGCTAACCAGAATTAAAGTTTGCTGACCAGATATTTTCGACGAGATTTTCGATTCAAATACGATAACAAAATTATTTGATTGTATACGTTGTTGCTACAGGTGAAATAATTTCAATTCCCCCACTGGCAAATGAGATGTTCAAATATAGGTATATGGTATTTGAAGCAAAAACTCGAACCAGAAATGCTCAGTGAGCAAGGATTCTTTAAAAGCAGCTATAGAATAAACTATAATACCTATAGTCTTCTGAGGGGGTGATTGAAATCATTTCTTCGGTCAGCAAACTTTTGGTTTGGGCAGCAAATTTTATTTTCCCGAAGTAAGCTGAATGTTCCTGGTTCGTTGAAGTAATTATGACAATAATGTTTGTGTCTCTGTTCAACAACAACAACTAATCGGGAGTTCGTGATTTAATAACTTTTCAATAGATAAACAAAAACGTGACCGTACTTCAATTACTTCAAACCATTATTGGACTAGGAACAAAGTTATATCTGGTTGTAGATAGAACCATGATAAAACCAAATTATGTATAGTTAGGATGTTTTTACACCGAATTCAGAGAGAAACGTTCCGTAGATAGAACTTGGCATTATGACTTACTCACTTGAATTCTAATAGATTGCGATAGTTGACCTCTCAACATGAAAAATGCAGCAGATAGAACCCTAATATACCAAAATCTCAATTTTGGTTGAAAAAAGAGTTTGAACCTTATTATTCTTGAGTGACGATCCGACGATGTTGGTTATGTCACCTCGATAGGCCACAAAATTCAGGACATATATAGCATCTTGCAGGTATTATTTCAAAGATCATGGAGGAAGCTATCAACATCGAGCTCATGAAATACCTGGAACATTCGATCAACTGGTGACCTGCTCGTTTATGTCTCACATATATGCTGGCAGCAATTTATTGAAAAATATGGTGAAACCTTAGCCGTGGCACTTGATATCTCCAAGACATTCGATCGAGTCTGGCACCACGGACTCCTCGCCAAGCTTCCATCTTATGGATTTTCTCTCAAACAGGTCACTCCATGTAGTGGTCGACGGAGTTTCATCTGACTCTCTTATCATAAATGCTGGTGTTCCGCAAGGATCAATTCTAGCAGCAATACAATTTCTACTCCATATCAACGATTTGTTGGAAGCAACTTCATGTCCAGTACACAGCTGCGCGGATGATAGTACCCGCCATACCACCTTTTCTTCCAGGGCTCCAATTCCAGCCGCAGGCAAATCAGGAACGAACGAGGGAGAAATGTTGACAACATGAATATGGACTTGGACTTGGCAACAATTCTCGAACTTGGTAGATTTCAATGCAAACAAAACACAAGCATGCCTCTCCTCTAGAAAAGCCGATCTCACTGTGCCCAACATAAGCTTGTCAGGAGTAACCATACCTTTGAAGACATCCATTTCGATGCTTAGTAGTACTATCAGCAATAACCTTTCTTGGGAAAATCACGTGAGATCAATTGCTAAAAGTGCATCCCAAAAACTTGTTTTTCTGTTTCGGGCCAGGAGCTATATCACTTCCAGTCAGCTGCTTATGATCTATAAGGCACAGATCCAACCTGCCCTGGAATACTGTTCCCATATTTGGAGTGCAGCACATACCCTGAAACTGTTAGATTTTGTCCAAAAAAGGGCAATTCGTCTCGTGGGTGATGCCTCGCTCACAAACTCACTCACTTCTCTGGAACACCGTAGAAAAGTTCAGCGATCTGGCTCTATTTTATAGATATTTTCATGGACGATGCTCTTCTGAAATATCAACAATTGTCCCTCCCTTGGCAGTCCCCGCGAGATTAACCCGTCGAGTAGTGGCTTCGCACCCCTTCGTGGTCACTTTGGAGACCTGCAGAACATCTCTTTCCAAAGACTCGTTCATCCAACGAACAGCAAGGCTCTGGAGCACATTGCCAAGGGAGGTGTTCCTCAAGGCATATAACCTCCAGAAATTTAAGAAGAACACCAATTCCTATACCTTATTTCCCTTGGTTTTCTCTGTACATTACAGGATATCCCTTTTCGTGGGATCCAGAACATAAAAAAAGGACGCAGGACAAGGTACATCAAATTCAGGACGTCCTGCGAAATGCTTGCCGGGTTGCCCTACTCACAGTTCAGTCAAATTTATGAATATTTTTACTTCTGGCGACAAGTAACGTTGTAAACTAATTATTCGAAATTAAAGGTTTTACTGAACCATAAATTTCCTTTACAAATCCATCCACTTAATAAAGTCGACTCGAGACCATCTTGATGCATGATCTAACATGTGTTGACAGTGTCGTGGCCGCTAATACAGGCCGAACAAGCAGCCTAAAAACAAAATAACACCCAGCCAGCTTTGATCTGCTGAACGGCAAACATAATTTATGTGACCGCGTTGCTTCTCTTTTCGAATCTTTGGCCGCAGAGGTTATATTTCAAAGGAATGTCTGCTGGCAAGAACCATGAACTTCGTTATGGACTCGGGTTGGTATTTTTTTCATTTTGTGCGAGTCAAATAGGCAATTAATCTACCTACCGCGAAATGAGTTGTTTGCAAGAAGCAATCTGAAAGAAAATTGCCAACTAATATTCATATATCATTATGCATTGAGATGTTCATATTTGGCATCATTGTCTGGATCAAATTCCCAACAATCTCTTGTGTTACATCATATGATCACACTATTAGAATCTAGATAAGAACGTGATGGTATATTAATCAGCAATGTATTCTATTTGGATTGGTATTTGTACAGCCATATATAAGATGAGAGGAATATTGAGGGAACTGTTTTAAGCAAACCAATAAAAGATTATTGGATATAGCCGCCATCAGGAAGAGTTAAAGTCATCCACTCTGCGGTCTCCCTGATGAGTTGAGTCTATATCAAACTCTTGTATCGCAAGATGGACTTAGCAGTGGTTGAGCCATTAGAGGCAAGACCTCACCCTATATAGGTAGAAGGTGATATAATTTTATAAATTTATACCTGACTACCCTTTTTCTTCTCGCTGAGAAATCTTACCAAAACTATATATCAACCCATATAAACTGTGTTCTATATATTATTCAACTTCAGAATACCATCAGCAGTCGTCAGATATAATATGATTATTCAAATACCTATAAGTCAAAGTGTGTAGATGATGGTGTATATACTAGTCTAGTAGTCTATGTTAACTACGTATACTGGCCTCATCACAATTCATTTATTGTTTGTTAATTCGCACTCTCATCATTGTTCTTGCCTTTCATCCCTATAAGTACCTACCTATATACGTCAAATATTATACCTATATTTCTTTAACATTCGTTTTATAATGTCTTGAAAGGAATAATTATCATCTACTCTACATAAGTATGTACATACAGTCTTTTTTTCAGAGAATACGTCAAGTTTAGACGGTATGCTGGTGCTATCATTGGAGAAATCATTAAGACTGCTGAAGTCGTTCATTTGCGACATATTCTCTGAAAAATGATGATGTATCTATATATTCACCTATATTTGTGTTAAGTGAGAAAATGATAAGCGATTCTATTACACGCCTACCTACTAGGTCTTTAATTACAAAACGACCATGATGGTCTGATGTAAACTTCTAAATTTCATTCACATCATAATAACAATATTTTAATAAAAAAAGGAAATTACGAATGCGCTATCCAGTTACAGTTCCGTTCAATGTTCACTTATCAACAAAAAAAAAAACATGAGTTCAATATCAATTCCAGTGAAACTTATTTCAGGATTTGGTATATTATTAGAAAATGAATAAAGCTACGGTACAGTAGATATACTATAGTAAACCATAAAATGCAAAATTTCAGTTTGTGTCAGTCAGCAGTAGTCAGCACTCTTAATTCGTTCTACACCTTAGTCAATTATTTAATGATTCCATATAAATTTACAACATCTGCCTATATACATATATATAATTTGATAATTTTCTGGCATAATTATTGCACGATGTTCTCTGAACAATATAGGGATTCCCTTTCGTGCGCTCCAAGCGATAAAAAAAATGCATGGATATCTACAAGGATAGGAGTATGCATTTGAAAAAAAAGGGAGGTTGATTTCAACATGAGGCAATTATGCTTCCAATGTATGCATGGTACCATCATCTAGCATAGGTATATATACAACTGTTTCATCTCTTCAAATTGAAAATGAACTTTTTGAGCATCTGATTAGTAAAGAAGATATCACTACTCACACTTTATTGGTTCTTGACCTCATCAGCATATATGTATACAGTTTTTTTTTCTCTCTCTCTTATTATTAGAATTTTGAGATATAGTATTATGGAAACAGATTGATGTTTTTTTTCCCGTTTCTCAACTCGAACTCCAACCCTTGTAATAAGAATTATAATTCTTTTGATACAATAAATGAAATGATCTATCTCTTCAAATTGGGTCTATTATTTTCCTCTCTCGTGAGAAATCTACCAATTGCGAAAATATATCCGTTTTTTATCTCAATTGCAGTTAAACCCAAATTTA